AATAATAATTATTAATATTATTATGAAATATAAATAAATTAATTCATTTCAGTTCATCAATGCCCAAGTGGTTTTCATGCTAAAGGAGCATACTGTGAGCACGATGATGAGGATCATTTCTGGATGGATGGAAATCAACAAAATTCTTTGCGAGAACTTCTCAATTCAGGAATTTGTTAATAAGGTAATCAATAAGGATGACACATTCAAACTTTACCCATTTTGCTTATTTGAATTTATAAAAATGAATGATATATGTAAAATATGTAAATTTCATGAATCAAATATCAGTTCGATTATTGAAGTAAATTTACCTGCTATTTTTTCTTTCTTTTTCTCTTTTGAGCTTTAATGTCTTACTAAGCTCTAAAACATTTAAATAGAAATGACGCTTTTTTGCTTATGTACGGGTACTACCGTTAATAATTCTATTTTAAAATTTCGGTAAACTTCAAAATAATTAGGTAGAAACAACAGTTTTTTAAATCTCTTGATTTTTGATGAATTTTATTCCGTGCTACTTTTACAACGTAATAAAAATTGAGTAATAAAAATAGGAATATTTCGTGCTACTTTTACAATATAATAAAAAATTTTTTGAAGGACTAAATAACAGTCATATTTTAAATTTATCAATCGTTATTTTCACTGTTATCAAAATGATTATAATATCATTGTAATGATATATCACATAATAACTCAGTGGGTATATTTTTTTCTCTTCTCTTTTCCTTCATCGTTTTTTTATGTTTGATAAATATTTCAATCAGCCTTAGTTGAACAAAATAATTAAAAGAAAATGCCTGAATTTTTAATTTTTAATTTTTTTTTTTATTATAAGAAATTGCTTACTTACAAAGTAGCATGCATGAGAAAAGTGAATGAAAAAGATTTGGGAGAAAGCAGAACACAAAATTGTGGTATAGTATGAATAATTTAAGAAGGCGATAACTTCAACTGATTTTTATTGTATGAAGGATTTGTAAAAAATAATATTATAAGATGAATAACGTGATAAAATAATTATTAAAATTTCATTACAATGACTTAAATGGATTAGATAATTTTGATCTTTTATCAAATAGAAATTTAACAAATTTAGATTTCGTACTTGGCAATGAAATGTTTATTAATAGAAAATATACCTCAAAACAAAAGTATGTTACTTATACATTATGTTTTAACACATAATTGATGTCATAATTGATGATGCAAAAATAGACGAAATAACTGTCATCATTTTGTCAACACACAATCGGAAAATATATAATGTTTTGTTCCAATAAACAAAACAGTAAACAATACAAACAATTTAAAAGTTAGAGTAGACATACGAATAACAAACAAATAAACATAGGAATGACAGACAAATAAACATACGATTGGCAAACAAACGATAATAAATACTTGTTTTTCATCAATAACTAATCGAAATGTTTGTTTTTGAGATATGACGTCATACTTGTAGTAAGAAAATCACGAATGTGCGACACACGATATCGACAAATTTAAATTCATTCTACAACTTTCATTCAAATCATTGCTTTCTGAGATATAAGAAATTATTCTATTCAAATAAAATCAAATCGTATTCCAACAATAATACAATTATTTTTTTTCGAAATAAAAATGAATGTGATTCAAAGTAAAATTGATAAATATTGAAAATTCAAACAAATTTAAACATTTCCAACAAGTGAATTCTCAATTTTTTATAACAGTTCAACTTTTTAACTCGTTTGTTACAGTTACAATTATCGTCATAGAAATCTAACAAAAGATATGTAAAACAATGAATGAATTAAGGTGATTAATCATTTGAAACTAAACTAAACTAAATGAAGGTTTTATATAAAATAATTAAGTTAATAATGAAATTTCAAGCTGTAAAGTGGTGAGGGAAAGTAGTGAGTTAATTTAAGATATTGAAATATTGATCCGATTCAGTACATTACAAATTATGATTTTCAAACTTTTCTTTGCATGTATTACTTTATCCATATAACTCTCATTTTCCTTTAAATGTGCAATAATTGATGAAATTTGATTTTTAAAAAACATAAACTGTTTTTGCACTACTCAATTAATTGTTCAAAAAGTATCCAAAAGTATTTTTTCTAATCGAAAACACTCTGAATAATGCTAAATCTATGTGTAATTAATATTATTCTATGCCATAATAATTCTCGAAAAGTTTTTTAAAATATTTAAAAGTATATTTAAGTAGTAAACATGACTAAATATAATAAACTGCATTGTATTTACCATTTCGAACAAAATTCTTATATATCTTTTCTGTTTCATACTTTTATCAGTGATATTGTCACTAATTCTTTTATAGTATAAATATTTTATTAATGGAAACTATAAATAGAATTTTATAAACATTATGAATATAAAAATGTTCGTATAACTGATATCAAATGAATATGTGAATGCAGATATTTAATACTAATATTCATATCGAATATATAGAGATAAAAAGATAAGAATTATTATGAATTGATTTTTTGGGATTTAAATCCAAACCATTTAAAAGTCTAATATTTGCTAACGAGCAGATTATCTGCAGATGAAATTAAAACTAAAATCGTATAATAATGTTATTATACTTCAATTAGAAATAGTTAAGGGAGCTTTGCTTATAGTTGCAAGTAAACCAGCGGTATATTTATTTCGTTAACTCTTGGATAATCAATAATAAATATCAAATTAACATAAAAAATCAATATAAACACTTTCGTTTCTCAATTTTATGATCATAAACGACAGCAATGCACGATAACATTGTGACCAGATGAAAGATCCAGAAGCACTTACACTTCTTTTCTGAATTCCATCACTTAAATGTTTTATCACAAGTAGTAAATTCTTCTAGGAATGAAAAAAAAGAAGCATTCATTTATTTTGAAGTGACATAAATAGAATGAATAGCATACAAAAAATCAAAAAATTGACGTACAAAAAAAGATTCGTTGAATTTCATCGTTTTTTTCTTTTTTTTTTTTTTTTTTTATTACAAATTCTAGCAATATGGATCATCAAAATAGGTAGTTGATATGTAAGAGGAAAAAAAATGATTGTATGCATAAGTTATTAAACATTTAGATCAGTTCTTGTATTCAAATTATTATTCAATACATGGTCTTGAATTGTCGGAATATTTTTTTTACTTTTATCTTAGTAACACTATTATTATCATAATTAAATTAATGACGTTTAATTTGTTATCAAACATATTAATTTGAAGTTCTGGAAAGCTCGATTTCTCATCCAGGTATGGTTCATATTTTGATTTCTACTGATTCATTTATTAATAGAAATATTTTAGTTTATTTGCTGTTATGCAACTATCCTCACTATTTTTTGTTACACTGATTACATTCGTTCTATAAAAACTAATTGATTGATATGAATGGGATGAAAATTTTTAGCTGAAGAAAAAAATACCAATGCAATCACCGATATATAATTCTGCTCTGTATTATACTTTTTACAAATAAGAAGTATTAACTGGATAAGAATTACTTACCAAATAGTTTTTTATTTCTTTATTGCAAGTAGTAAAAAACGATACATTTAAATTGAGAACCCTTTATTAGCAATCTTTGTTTCAGATCAGTTAAATACCATCTGCCAGATATCTGGTCAGTTCAGTTCTGTATATAAACCATTAATATTATTTTAGTGTTCTATAATTATATAATACTTTTCGTTACGCGTCGTTATAATGTCGATTTGTTGGGTTAATTACCCAGGCTTGAGGCAAAATAAAATATCTGGCAGTCAATACATTCCACGACTCAAATTGCGTCACATATTATCCAATCTGACTAATTAGCTCCAATTAGAAACTTATAATTTAGTGTCTATTTTGATTTGTTTTAAAACTCTAACATAGTTTTGTACTGAGATTTTAAATTAAATCTATAGAAAAATTATTTAGCATCTAATTGATATTATAAATTTGGCAAAAATTTGAGAGCTTTAAAAACATTTGATCTAATTGTTTCTCATACATCCATTTGTAAATGATATGTTTGCAATCAACTTTATAAAAATTAAATTAGAATTTTAACACAAATATTTTGTAACATTATTTTCTTACGAGTTGTTTATAGAACAGATATTACGATGATCATCGCAGAACAGATTTAATGACATCGAGTCTTAGTCAGTGCATTTATATAATCCTACTTTCGTTTTCAATATTTTGTCTGCTAACATTGTACCCGAAATGTGTTTTAATCAAATAATTTATGTATGAGTAACTAGAATCCATCAAAATTAGTTTTATAAGCAACTCTGTGTATCAAAGTGCTATGTGACATAAAAAACAAAAAAAAAAAAAAAAAAAGCGTAAACATTATCAACCCAATGCGACAGATAAATTTAATGACCAATATAAAAAAGTATTTCACTTAATCTTTCAAAACTTTTCCATTGCATTCAGTTACATCAAATTCCGCAATTTCAGAAGAAACAAAACTCTTTTAGCATGGCTGAACTTTGTTTCACTTTTCATTTACTACTATTTCTACTAAAATGCTTATTTCTATAATTCAAAATTATTGTATATAGCAATAGTGGTACATAAGAAGTTTGGTATGATAACTAGCTAGGCAATAGCTAAGTTTAAATTAGCTTTAAATCAATTTTATTCATCGTTTCTTTTTTGCAAGATTAAAATAATGCTGTAAATGCATGTATGCTTAAACAAAGGTCAGATACGAGAAAAAAGAAACAATTAGGTGAAGCAAATTAATGACAACAATCGAAGAATAAAGGAAAAATGCAGTGCAAATGCAAAGAACGTGGCAGTGAAGGCGATACATATGTCAAAGTAAAAAAGTAGATGAAAATTTTGAATCTCTTTTTAACTCAATTAGGAATAAAACAAAAAATTGCTGCAATGAAATGAAATAAAAACAAGCAAATAAAAACTATTACGATTCAGAAAAACAAGTAAAAAAATTGAACAAAATTATTTGTCAGATTTTTTAATGATTTGCACAACTGCCGCAATTATCATTCCAATCTGTCCACATATCGCATGGCCTAAAATAACATGGTCGTTGTTGAGTTATTTCACCAAGACAATTAATTCCGGTTCGACTTAAACATGTTCGACGTCTTATTTGTACGCTATCACCGCACGTAACAGGACAGATCGACCAAGTTGTCCATAAATTCCATCCTACATTAAAATAATTTGTCACAAATTAGCAAAACATTTTATTACACCAGAAGAAAGGAAAGTTAAAATTACTTAAAATTTAACTTATGAATTTTTAAGATTTAGGGAAAGACTATATTAATATTACCAATGAAATAAACAAAATTACCTTGAACATATGAAGATTGTTGTTGTTCATGGATTAGATCCCTGCTACTATCGGGGTAATGTCGCGCTTCCAAACTATCCTGACGGCCTTTTCCACTGTAGTGCTGCTGTGAACGGTAGTATTCATCGAGTTCAGATCCGGAAAGCTGTGGTTGCTCATGACGGTATTCTTCAGGAGAAATTGTGGATTGAAGTTGCTGTCGGCGATAGTATTCATCTAGTTCGGATCCGGAAGGCTGTGGATGTGCTTGTTGTTGACGATGATACTCTTCAGGAGAAACTGTGGATTCAAGTTGCTGTCGACGATAGTATTCATCTAGTTCGGATCCGGAAGGCTGTGGATGTGCTTGTTGTTGACGATGATAGTCTTCAGGAGAAACTGTGGATTCAAGTTGCTGTCGACGATAGTATTCATCTAGTTCGGATCCGGAAGGCTGTGGATGTTCACGAGCATATTCTTTAGGAGAAATTGTGGATTGAAGTTGCTGTCGGCGATAGTATTCATCTAGTTCGGATCCGGAAGGCTGTGGATGTGCTTGTTGTTGACGATGATACTCTTCAGGAGAAACTGTGGATTCAAGTTGCTGTCGACGATAGTATTCATCTAGTTCGGATCCGGAAGGCTGTGGATGTGCTTGTTGTTGACGATGATAGTCTTCAGGAGAAACTGTGGATTCAAGTTGCTGTCGACGATAGTATTCATCTAGTTCGGATCCGGAAGGCTGTGGATGTTCACGAGCATATTCTTCAGGAGAAATTGTGGATTGAAGTTGCTGTCGGCGATAGTATTCATCTAGTTCGGATCCGGAAGGCTGTGGATGTGCTTGTTGTTGACGATGATACTCTTCAGGAGAAACTGTGGATTCAAGTTGCTGTCGACGATAGTATTCATCTAGTTCGGATCCGGAAGGCTGTGGATGTGCTTGTTGTTGACGATGATACTCTTCAGGAGAAATTGTGGATTGAAGCTGCTGTTGGCGATAGTATTCATCTAGTTCGGATCCGGAAGGCTGTGGATGTGCTTGTTGTTGACGATGATACTCTTCAGGAGAAATTGTGGATTGAAGTTGCTGTCGACGATAGTATTCATCTAGTTCGGGTCCGGAAGGCTGTGGATGTTCACGAGCATATTCTTCAGGAAAAATTGTGGATTGAAGTTGCTGTTGACGATAGTATTCATCTAGTTCGGATCCGGAAGGCTGTGGATGTTCACGAGCATATTCTTCAGGAGAAATTGTGGATTGAAGTTGCTGTCGGCGATAGTATTCATCTAGTTCGGATCCGGAAGGCTGTGGATGTGCTTGTTGTTGACGATGATACTCTTCAGGAGAAACTGTGGATTCAAGTTGCTGTCGACGATAGTATTCATCTAGTTCGGATCCGGAAGGCTGTGGATGTGCTTGTTGTTGACGATGATACTCTTCAGGAGAAATTGTGGATTGAAGTTGCTGTTGGCGATAGTATTCATCTAGTTCGGATGCGGAAGGCTGTGGATGTGCTTGTTGTTGACGATGATACTCTTCAGGAGAAACTGTGGATTCAAGTTGCTGTCGACGATAGTATTCATCTAGTTCGGATCCGGAAGGCTGTGGATGTGCTTGTTGTTGACGATGATACTCTTCAGGAGAAATTGTGGATTGAAGTTGCTGTTGGCGATAGTATTCATCTAGTTCGGATGCGGAAGGCTGTGGATGTGCTTGTTGTTGACGATGATACTCTTCAGGAGAAATTGTGGATTGAAGTTGCTGTCGACGATAGTATTCATCTAGTTCGGGTCCGGAAGGCTGTGGATGTTCACGAGCATATTCTTCAGGAAAAATTGTGGATTGAAGTTGATGTTGACGATAGTATTCATCTAGTTCGGATCCGGAAGGCTGTGGATGTGCTTGTTGTTGACGATGATACTCTTCAGGAGAAACTGTGGATTCAAGCTGCTGTCGACGATAGTATTCATCTAGTTCGGATCCGGAGGACTGTGAGTAAATTTGTTGCTCGTGATTGAAATCCTCAGGTAGGGATTCGGGAAACTGTTGTTTTTGGTGATAAAAGTTTTCAGATGGTGCACCTAAATGTTGCGGTCGTTCTTGTAGTGGGAGGTCAGTAAAGTTATGTCGCTCGTTCATGCTTTGGATTAGATTCGGTTGTTGATTAAAATGCACATGTGGTACTAATGTTGATGAAAACGTCTCAGTGCGGCTATCATAAGGGTAATTTTGATGCGAGAACTGTTTATTGGTTATTTCTGAAGGAGAGCCTTGTTCCTCGTAAGTAGTGACTGCAGTTCTTTCTTGACTGTCATAGTCATACCCGTAGTCAGTTCCATCAAATTCGCCTTCTTTTGTATTATCATTTTCGGGATTGATTGGTTGTTTATTTTTGTTATGCTCTGGATAATAATCTTCTTGAATAATGCCGTCACGATCGTTCATGAATTCATCTTGCTGAGAGTATTGTTGGTAGTGATCATCATGATCTTCATGTCCGTGGTATTCCTGAGAGTTACTTAGCCGGTGTGCCTGTTCTTTCTTATCATTAGGTAAAGTAGGTTTTCTGGTTTCGTCGATAGTCTGACCCAGTTGGGGTTGCAAGTTATGAAAATATTCTTCATATGTTCTGATATAATTCATTGTTTCAGTTCCTTCATGATTTCCGGTTGCTGTTTGAACTTCTTGAGGTAAATCTGAGCTGACTTCACCATTCAGATTCGGTAGATGCATTTTTATAGACGATTGTTGTTGTTCATTTTTCCATTCACTTTCATAATCAGGTAATAATGAGACCGGAGCGGATAACATCACAATTTCATCAGACTGTCCTTTTCTGTACTCTTGAATCCGACTTATGGGCTCTTCTGAAAAGACACTTTGTTGCTGCTTTTCGTTATGTAGTAGTTGTTCCGGATCTTGTTCAACATCCAGTAAACTGGATGGTGGGCAGGAATGACCACAGAAGTCTATATAATCTTTGCCAACCTGAAAAAATTATTTCAACAAAGTAATTATATTTGATTGGGCTATAATAATTTACATTGAGCTACAGTTTTATATCGCAATTTATCCATCTAATATAGATTTATTTATTTGATATAAAATACTAAGGATATATTAAACATAAGATACACGTACGTGTTTACGATACCATTCTTGCCGTTCACAACAGTTCTGTCGCAATCGGTGTAGTTGTTTCATATGCTCGGATAATCGACGCTCATATTCCGGTCTTAAAATATGACTGATAAGAAGAAATTTAATAATTAAGAGTTTTGAATGTCATTGCCCTATTAATAAAATTAAGTGATAAGAATAATTACTTATACTGAAAAACTTCAAAGACAATATCCAAACGTTCTTTTCTTAGTTTTAAATGAAAATAGCTAAGGCTCTAACGATTTATTATTAGGATGTTCATATGGTTGTGGTGGATACGGTAAAAATGATGATGGATGTACGAAAAATGGTATTTCAGTGGATGATTTTTTGGAACATTGACGTTTCTGAATCAGTCGACCATATTCACATGGTTGTGAACGGATTTGATATCCTGAAAATATTTGAAGAATATCACTGGAAAAGCCAATAGTAATAACATTGTCTATTAAAAATTAAAAAATAAAAAAGAATGAAATATCTGATAATTTCGTGAGAAAAATCCAAACTTATTATATGAATTTTTTCCTATTTTGTAAATTTATTTATCGATTTTTTTAATAATTTATTTACAAATAAATACACAATATATTACAAATTTGTAAAGCTGTAACAAATTAATAGCAAAAATGTTTCATTTATACCATTGCGACATTTTGTCCATTGGGACCACAATCCCATGCGTTTGATACGATTACCAAAGTTTGTTGCTAAACTTTTTCATATTATTGTTATTTTAAAAAATTAGTTGAAAGAAAAAAATGAAAAGAGGCAATTTTTAATAGATTATTCATATCTTTGTTTACTTATCCTAAGCAAACCTCGTTTAATTCGAGAAACTTTATCCGATGATGCCGTAAAAGTATCCGCAAGTGGTGGTACAGCATTAAATTCATGACAGTTAGCAACAATTTCAATAGTATTAATGACATCATGCTCAGCTAATGGTTTTTCAGGATATAATACAACCTAAATAAACAAAACAATCTTTATTAATAGAAATATTAATTGATTCATAATATTTGGTGAAAATAGATGAAAAAAAGAAAAAAAAAGGTATAATTACAACTAACATCTCTATAAATGCTGCTTTTGTTGAACAGATAACATAATGGAGTGATTATTTTATAGAATATCACTGAAATTTTTATTTGTGTTTAGTATAAGTATTACAGTAAAAAGGGCAATTGCTTATGGTAAAAATTTATCGATTAAAAAGTGTTACTAAAAATTTAATGACGAATTTCAATATCAAGTATCAACAGTACCTAAAACTGGATTTGTCGAAAAACTGACAAACTTACCGGCTACACAATACGGATACAGTTCGAGACAAGTGTCATGACATTGATCAATGGTGATAAGCGTTATGGAAGTGATTGGTTTAGTACCAAGATAAACTGTATTGTTATGAGATCGAATACACAATGTTTCAATCTGAAAGGTTCATTTGTTTTTCATTCGGATATTACTATTAATTCAAACAACGATAGATTAAAATAAGTGCTGAAATCAAAGAACCAATATAAATATCCTCCTGTCATGCAGTAGCAACTTCAACTGCAAGAAAAGCCAGAAGATGTATTTCTCTTAGAGTTGAAATAGTTCTAGCATTCTGTCTAAAAGTTATAAAGATGGCTTGAAAAGCTTTTTATCTAAAAAAAAATTTTTAAAATGAATTAAGTTTCAGCACAAAAGTTTTATAAAACATAATAATGAATAATATGTATATTAATCTTAATTCGTTAAATTAATTTACCGGTTGTTTTGTAAATTTCACCAAGAAATTTTTCGAGCGTTTTAATGAAGGATTTTTTGGCACTTTTTTCCACTGGTATTTTTCGTCGGCTTCTATAATTTTTGTTACTAAAATTATTTCTTCTTACCATGCATATAGTAAGCATAATTTACTATTTTTTTTACTTATTACTTTCTTTTTTTTTTCATTCTTACAAAATAATATTTTGGTTAAAACATTTTTTGCAGCAAAATAAAAATTATTTAACCAATACTATTAGTTACTTACAAGAAAAGATGCTTTTATGAATTAAAACAAATTTCAAAATTTTAAACTTGTATTAAGTGTTGATGCATGTATTGCTTAAATAAATTTTTCAAATTCATTTCATAATTATTATGTGATACAAAAACATTAATTCTTCTGTACCCATAATAGAAAGGAAATATTTGATTAATATTTGAATACCACACTATAATTGATATACAATTGGTTAAATGGCAAATAAAACATACCGGAATTGGTTATTTCATAAAGTAAATTACACATTAAATAGGTACTACTATAATTTAAAAATATTTAAAGTGCTGTTAATTCTTTAAATATTAAAACAGTATCATTTATAAATACTTTGTTTAGTGTGCTTTATATACACGTGTATTTGTGTTCACTTATAAGCACTGTCATTTTTTCAATTTTCAATTAATTTTTTCCAATTAATTCTAAACCTTATGTCTTGAATTAAAATATATACTAAACTTACATAGTTAAACTAAATTTTATAACTATTTTACTTATTGGCATATTTTCATCAATTAGAAGAAAATTATTACTGTCAATTATTTTATTAACTATGCTTAATCATAACATAATTTTTGAAACTTCATTATGACTATATATAGCACTGGTTATATATATATATATTGTAATTAAGTAGTTTGCTCAGTATATAATTGCAAAAATAATGTAATCTTATTCAGTTAGTGGACTAACCAGTGTATAAAGTGATTAAAAGAGATAAGGCGATGATAATAGTTTTGACTGAAAGTGACATTTGAAGAGCAAGACTGATAAACCGACTAATAAAATGTGGAAGCACTGGTTTGAAAAATTGTTCAAGAAAAGTGCTTGAGACAGATGGAAGAAGTAATGCTCACAAATGTTAGCATTTCAAATGATGAACATCTTTCTAACTGTTACAATTAATCACAGGCAACGTTCCATATGCTACTATTTCAGAGATCCGTATCTTCCGGTATATATATATATATATATATTCGTAATTAGTATTTTAATTTATTAGATAGATATTTAAATGCCATTAGTAGAATAAAATTAAATTACAAAATTTAGATCAATTCATAAGGATAATTAATTACTACATCTAAAAGAATATGTTTTTTCTGTTAATTGTAAATTTAAAAAGATATAGTTATTAATTCAAATGACATCTTGCAAATAAATACAACAAAATTTGATTTTAGTTTGAACAAAAAAAAAAAAAAAAAAAAAACGAAATTAGAAGATTCTTTGATTTCTAAATCAGGTTAAACAAATCCAATTATTCGCCTTAATAATTATAAGTCCAAAATTTTTGCCAAAAATTTATTCTCTTTCAAAATGTTTTTTGTGTTAATTCTAATCATTGACCATTCTTATTATCGCATCAATAAGTAATTGTTCGTTTCTTTAATTACAGTGAAAATATCAGAGAAGTATTTATTAAAACTTCGAAGAAAATTAATGAGAATAAATTAATTGCATCTCAGAGTACTAACCGAAATTACACTGATAAAGCATAAATGTCAAATAATTAATAAATTTTTTTATTATCAATCTTTTTTTTTTTTGATATTCTCTCTATAAAAATATTCAACGAATCAATATATATGTGTTCGCTGGAATTCGCTGCATTTTATAATCGCTTTCTTTATTTAATAGTTGCCTTGCTCGTGCCTGAAATTCTTTGATTTATTAACATCTTGCATCCATATTGTATGTAATATAATTATTAATCTGTTAATTAATTAATCGTTTTCTAACACTAATTATTCCAATATTATTCATCTGAAATTAACGATAGCCAATATAAGCAACCTTAACATGTATATCATAGCAATTATTTTGATTTTGAGCAATTTGACGTAACGCTTCCATAATCTGATAATTTTCAAGTATAAAAAAATAATTGATTTGCTTTTCAATCAACAATTCAATAGCATTGAGTGTCCGTCCTATCAAGTCATGCTCAGCATACATATTGAGCACGTGTGGTACTATACTAAGCACGTTGCTTGCACATAGCCAACGTGATCGATTTCCACTGGCACCAGTTAACGCATTTATAACTGTCCAACCTATTTCCTAAAATATGCTGCAAATTAGTAGTGAACTTTTATGAAATTACAATTTGAAACGATTTAAAACCTTGCGAATACGATAATCATCGTATTAAAGAATGTGTCAGTAAGTATTTCAACGATATCATTCGTTTCAAACAGTAAATCAATTTGTCGCTGTGAACCAGCCGCTATATTACTAAGAATCCACATTATTTCATGTTTTTGATTAATTGGCATCATAGGTCCAAATAATTCCATCTACAAAATAATTATATTACTTAATATGAAAAACAAATTTATATTTGTATTGTTAAGATATGATTTTTACGTGCAAAAGTACTCGTCAAATAATGCATTAATATCTCATTTGTTTATCATTAAATGAAATAGACTAAACTCATCGATTAACTGTCAGAAATCTACTAATGATTTCCCTTTCAATTGGCACTGATAATAGTTGCTAAGCTTAATCCATTATTAATTAAGACAGGTGTGGGAGTAGTAAACTAATGAAATAGTTGAAATTTAATTCATGTAAACTTTTATTAAATTATCATAACAGATATAACATGAAAATTGTTTAAGATAAGAGCTTTTTTGATCATTTGAAAATCAAATGAGATTAACTAAGATCGTTGATCAATAATGAGTTGTTTGAAACCAATGCAATGAATTGAAATGTAAAGTGATGAGGTACCATGCGCGGTAATAAACCAGCATTGAGAACAGCTTGAGTTTGTGCGTCATCTCCCACCACCAAATTCCCGAGTGCTCTCAGTGCTGCAGGCATTGCACGCTTTTCAGCTAGCAGTTCGATCAGTCTCTCCAACAAAGCTGGCGTTTGCAATACTGCATCAATCTGATTTTGTTGTCAGTTGTCAGTAAGCAAACATTCTAACAAATCATTTGATTACAAAAAAAAAGAAAAAAAAAGTCATTAAATTGATCATTCTTCATAAATAACACGGTTACTTCATCTCATACCTAAAAAATTGATTAAGTAATTTCAAGCCGTACCTGCCCACCACCAACATTATCATCAGCAATATATGCTACTGTCCAAATTGCGTCCATTTTTATTTTAGAATCTTCTAAATACAGCACTGGACGAAGACCAGTTAATGCTGCTCGAACAAACTAAAAATAAAATATTCAATTATTTATTTGCTATCTATTTTATTATGATCAATAATCTCATTTTAAAAACCAGAATAGGGAAAGGTAAGGAATGAAACATACATTTTATTTGATGACTTATAAATATAATTAAACTAACCGTAATATCAAGTGTTCGAATACCACCACGAATTATCTGTGATAAAGCCCAGATAAGATTTCGTATCCATTTTGAACGGATAAACGTTGGACTGACAAGAACATTGATCATAAGTGGTAATGCAGCACTGTTTTGTACCTGTATCGTTACTACTAATAGGTGTGAATAAAAATAAAAGTATATAAATATAGTAATAAGTAAATAAATGTTGTTTATGAATTCGCAAGTTATCACATCGTTGCTATTTTTGTCATTGTTGCTACTGAAATATTACCATTTCTTGACATGTAGGACAATCCAACGCGATATTACCAAGAGCCCAGAAAACCTGATCTCGAGTTTCACCATCTGTTTCTGCGGCACATTCGACCAATGCTTCTAGACCACCCTTACAAATAATTTATCTCACTAAGAAATATTATTAAATAACTTAAAAAAATAAATTTTTGAAATATACATTATAGAAGATATATTCATATACAAACTTACGTATTGAATTATTTTATAGCATATTTCATGCGATAAAATAATTCAATGTGAACAGGCGCAATTAGTAAGTGCCCAAGCGGCATCTCTTTGAATATTAGCAAAATTCACTCGCAAACAACGAATGAGACTTTTAATCTGGAAAATCATTTAAACTGCATTACCAGTTAACAATAGTAAAATTTTTTTAGATTAACTAGAATAGCTGCAAGTGTTGATAAATCCAAAAAAAAGAAAGCAAATTCAATTTTAGCTCTAATAGCTGTTTTCTTACTATAAACCATTTATTAATTAGATCAGATCGATGCATTAAATGGTATGCAATATCAATCAAAAATTAAAACTAACAAATACATAAAAGAAATGAATTAAAAACCAACGAGTGCATCTGCAAAAGGTGGTGGTAGGATATGATTACGAATTAGTAAACGCCGGAAATATTCAACAGCAGATGCCTGAATTCTTTCAATATGATATTATTCCATAAAAAAATATTTAGTCTAAATGAAATTTAACAAGTACAAATATAGAGCATATTAAAAGTAATAAAAGAATGGAAATGGACAAAGAAAAAGATATTTGTTAAGTAATAAATAAATTTTCAATGAATATTTTTTCAACGTATTGATATATGAAATAGTGAAATATATTTTTTTACGCAATGAAAGGTCAATTAGGCAATTAGAATGGAAATCATGAAGGCGGGCTGAGTAGAAAAAGTGGTGAGGTCAAATGTGACAGAGGTGACAAAGAAAAGATTTAATCAATAGAAACGAGGAAAATAGTATAAAAAGGGCAAGCGAATAGGTTCATTCATTCATTCATTCATTCATTCATTCATTCATTCATTCATTCATTCATTCATTCATTCATTCATTCATTCATTCATTCATTCATTCATTCATTCATTCATTCATTCATTCATTCATTCATTCATTCATTCATTCATTCATTCATTCATCATTCAATTCATTCATTCATCTATTCATCTCATTCATTCATTCATTCATCTTCATTCATTCATTCATTCATTCATTCATTATCATCATATTCATTCATTCATTCATCATTATCATTCATTCATTCATTCATTTCATATTCATTTCATCATATTCATCATCATTCCATTCATTCCATATCATTTCATATCATCATTCATTCATCTCATTCATCATTCATTCATTCATCTCATTCATCATCAATATCATCTTCATCTCATCATTCATTCATTTCATCATCATCATTCATCATTTCATTCATTCATTCATCATCATCATCATCATTCTCATTCATTCATTCATTCATTCATTCATTTTCATTCAAATTCATTCATTCAATCATATTCATATTCATATTCATTCATTCATTCATTTATTCATTCATTCATTCATTCATTCATTCATTCATTCATTCATTCATTCATTCATTCATTCATTCATTCATTCATTCATTCATTCATTCATTCATTCATTCATTCATTCATTCATTCATTCATTCATTCATTCATTCATTCATTCATTCATTCATTCATTCATTCATTCATTCATTCATTCATTCATTCATTCATTCATTCATTCATTCATTCATTCATTCATTCATTCATTCATTCATTCATTCATTCATTCATTCATTCATTCATTCATTCATTCATTCATTCATTCATTCATTCATTCATTCATTCATTCATTTCATTCATTCATTCATTCATTCATTCATTCATTCATTCATTCATTCATTCATTCATTCATTCATTCATTCATTCATTCATTCATTCATTCATTCATTCATTCATTCATTCATTCATTCATTCATTCATTCATTCATTCATTCATTCATTCATTCATTCATTCATTCATTCATTCATTCATTCATTCATTCATTCATTCATTCATTCATTCATTCATTCATTCATTCATTCATTCATTCATTCATTCATTCATTCATTCATTCATTCATTCATTCATTCATTCATTCATTCATTCATTCATTCATTCATTCATTCATTCATTCATTCATTCATTCATTCATTCATTCATCATTCATTCATTCATTCATTCATTCATTCATCTTCATTCATCTTCATTTCATTCATTCATTCATTCATTCATTCATTCATTCATCATTTTCATTTCATTCATATTATCATTCATTATCATTCATTCATTCATTCATTCATTCATTCATTCATTCATTCATTCATTCATTCATTCATTCATTCATTCATTCATTCATTCATTCATTCATTCATTCATTCATTCATTCATTCATTCATTCATTCATTCATTCATTCATTCTTAATTCACATGTTTATGCTTATTGAACTGAATTGTTTCATCTATACTCAAACATTTATATATTTAAGTCTAAAATAAATTAAAACTTGTTGTAATTTATAATAATAGTAATGGATGTACTTTGATATAAGCTCTATGCTCAAATTTTTCACTTAATCTTTTTTTCCTTTTCTCGCTTTTGATTATTTATTTTAAGAAATTACTGTAGCTTTATTTAAGCAGAGTTGGTTGATGTAATTAATTGTAGAAAAAGAAAATATGATTGATACCTGAGCAGGTAGTGAATTATACGGTAAAAGAAGTTGCAAGTGAAGTTCGATTTCTGCGTTATACGAGTTATCATTACCTTCACGAGTCGTTCTAATTTCCATTACCACTGAGATTTTAAAATATTTTGCAAACAATTTGTTAAATAGCTTTTCTTGATAACTAGAATGAGAACTTACGATGAATTACCGCAACAGTGCTAACAATGAAGAATAAACTGAACAATCTTTTAATTATCTTACTATTTATATCATTTCATTCATTCTTATGAAATTTTCATAAAACATGATAAGAATTTTTGCATAATTATTTATTTACTATTTGCTTACGAACTTTATTTGTTTGCATATTGTTTAAGAAATTGAGAAAGTGAAAACATTAAGCAGAATTTGAACATATAGCAATAACAAAACCAAGAATTAATTATCATTATCATTGTTGTTAAAAAAATTAGTTTCTTTAAAAATTTTCTTATCAGAAAAAATGTATGCTGAAATTTATGGTGTAATACTATTTTTAGTATAAAAATTAAAATGGTATAGAAAATTCAGAATTAACATAACTTTAGTGTAGTTTCAAAATGCTTTTTAGTGAAAACATAAATAAAAGAAATGATAAAATTAGCAGTTTAATGCTAAATTTTTCTTCTTTTTTCACTTTTTTCGTAAATAATTTAAATAATTACTTCCATCTGCAACATTTATATTTTATGAAAAAATTATGGAAATTAATATTCAAATTATACCTATGTGCAGCTCAAAGCTGATTGTTTGATAATATTTTGCTCCTTTTCATTCATTTTGTTTTTGTTCACTTTAGTGCAACTGTTTGACAAATTGGTAACTTTTTTTTTTGTTGCTTTCAATTTGTTTTATCATTTTCATATTATTTATTAAGTATTTCATATTTTTGTAAATAATTCAATCAGAGGTTATCGTTTTTACTCATCAAATTGTTTAATAATTGTGATCAACTTATTACAATTTTTTTCGATAATACTAGGGAAAAATTTTTTTGCATTTAATTAAAAAGACACTAATTAATATATAATTGTTTCTATGTGATAAAAAATTTATAGAAAAAGAAAATGAATTACAATAAGATTTAATGCATATAACACAATATTTTTTTAAGATATTTTTTAGAATTTATTACCATAATGCATTGGAAATTAATTATTGTACTTGTTTCTGCATTTGGTATAATCAAAGAGTTCCGTCCAGCAACACCGTTTCTCACTCCTTATCTTATCAGTGCACCTAAAAATTTCACTAATGTTCAACTTTACAGTGAAATTTATCCATTTTGGACTTATTCTTATCTAGTTGCATTGGTAAGTAATTATTTGTTTCACCTAAATAACAAACAAATATACTGTAAAAGTATACTCTATCCGATTTAGCGTTACAACGATATTATTATTAATATTATTTACATAAACAATCAAAAAAAGGAAAAAATTTATTTAAAGGTTCCATCGTTTTTCTTAACTGATATACTACGATATAAGCCAATTGTTATAACAGAAGCAGTGGCGCTATGTTTCACGTGGATTCTATTAATATGGGGTAAAACAATATGGCAAATGCAAATTATGCAAATTGCATTCGGTAAATGTTATTAATTATTGTTTGAAGTCAAATTTTTACCTAAATAAGAAATTGGAGAAAAAAAAAAACTATTTGTAGACGACATTTTAGAATTTAACGGCGGTTTTGCCTTTATCTTCTATATTTCTTTCATTAGTAGAGCAATTGTTTTAAAGGATTATTATTACTTATTATTGTTATCATTATTACTATTAATATTATTATAATATTGTTACTGATTTAATAATCCTAATAAATTAATAAATTGCATCAGTTTAAGAATTAAATCATTTTATTTTTTTTCAAATAATTATAGTAAAAAAAAGAATCAAATAGTTAATTATTGCATATATTTTAAAAATCACAATTCGATATTTGGAATAGATCATATATTTGAACCTTCTTAAATACAAATTTGTTTTGAAATACTACTATAACTGTATAATCAAATATTACTAAGATTTAAAGGCTTAATAAGTTTGTTCGAAACAATAAATGATCAAAGATTAAAATGAACCTTTTTTGAATTACCTGTAAATACTTTTCATTTTACTAATTTTTTAAGTTCCACTGAAATCTGAATAATTTATATTTTGTTGCACTACAATTGCTTAGCATAACTAATACTATTTAGTTAACGACAAACTTTGATAAATTGAAAAGTTATTTGATTTGATTTAATTTAATTTAATTTAATTTAATTTGAAACTTAGTAATTTGGCGATAATTTGGAATCAAAATTAGATTAAATAAGAGAAAGATGAAAGGTTTTCTTAATAAATACATTAATTTATTGCAGGTGTAGCATCAGCATGCGAACTTGGCTACGAATCCTATATGTTTCTTATGGTAGATAAAAAGTATTACAAATTAGTTTCATCGTATACACGCGCTGCAACACTAATTGGTCGATTTTTTGCCTATGCTTTAGCACAATTTCTTATTTCATTTAATTATGGATCTTATTTACTTTTAAATCAGGTAGCATTTTCAGGAAATGTCTGTTGTTTAAAATTTAATTATTTTTAATAATAAAATGATAATAATTAGTAATAGATGGTGGGACACTTATCAATAATAATATTGATAACTCAGCAATATATTTAACTTTTAAAAAAGATGTTATTTTTGTTTTAATTTTAATAAATTAACTTATGGAATAGAAATATGAAGAGCCTTAATGCTGTTAAATATTTAAAATGTGCAAAATTCTTGCAGAAATGTCACATTTTCTGTTTTTTTTTTTTTGCTTTTCTGATTCTTGATTTCTTCGTGTAATTTTTGATTATTAATTGGTTTTTTAAACAATTACGTCAGATTTCATTTGGTGCAGTTTGCGTAATTATACCAATTGCAATCGCTTTTCCACCAATAACAAAAGAAATTATTGATAGCAAAGTTGAAAGTCAAGGTAAAAAAGCAGTGGATGACATGCGACAAAAAGAAACTTCGGAAGATTCATCTGATAAAACAGCAAAAGCTAAGGATTCTGGTGATGTAAAAAATAGAGCTATCAAAGAAAGGTTTCACTACTTATTTTAATTACAATTTTCATATCATTTAAAGGTTCTAGTCGAAAATTTTTTGTTAAATTTAACACTTTTTTGAAAGATAAAGTAAAATTAAAATAATGAATTACTCATTGATAAAGAAAAAGGAGATAAAAGATTAATAAAGAAGTTGGCAATTAGTTATTATTAAATATAATTATAATTTTCCGCTAAATTTGAGGAATAGCAGAAATGATGAACTTTTGAACATAAAAGAAAAGCTTAAAAATAAGAAATTACATATTCATAAATGCTTCAATGTGAATCTTAAAGAAAATATCATTTACAGGATGGAAGAATATTCCCATTTCATTTTGCATGAACTTAAAATATTCAAACGGAATAAAAATGTTTTAAAATGGAGCATATGGTGGGCATTAACCAGTTGTGGCTTTTATCAGGTTTGACAGTTTAAAAAGCGAATTCATCTTCTTTGCTTTTAGATTAAAGTTTGATATATTCGTTGTTAATTTAATTAAAATTATATCAAATTGAATTGAATTAAATGGTATGTTCTAAAGCTATTGCTGCAAAATAAATGTTTTAAAAGTGATAATTTTAAAATATCATAAATTTAGAAGAGTAAATTTATGATTGCATTTTTTAATCTAATTTATTTTGTTAATTTTTCAGATAACAAATTATGTACAATCACTATGGGCTACAATGCAAATTATTTCAGATAATTTCAATGGAATTACTGAATGCATCAATACACTCATGGGTATATTAAATTATGGGGGAATGCGAGAAGTAAAAGAAATTGATTGAACATAAATGAAATTTTTCATTTATGAATAAAAATTAATTAAACATAAAGATTGAAAAAAATAATAGTATTAAATAATTAAAATATTTAATAAGTTATAAGCATAATTTCAGGTGCAATGATTTCATTTTCATTGCAATATATTAACAAAGATTGGACAGTACATGATGAATTGATACTTTCAATTACATCATTTATAATTGCTGTTTTATTAATTATTATGTCGCAAATTAAATCAGTTATCATTGCATATATTCTTTATGTCATTATCACCTCTATTTATACACTTCTAATGACTGCCGCATGGTAAGATATAAGCAAAAGAAATATTTTATTAAATCCATTACTAATATGTAATTAGAAAGATGAAATGCTTGCATTAGAATGCTTCATGATATGCATTTTTCTTTTTTTTAAAAAAGTAGTTGTTAAGCTTATTATTATTTTCTGTTTTTTTTTCTCTTGTTTAATGATTATTTTAGTTAATTAGGCTTGCTCATTAATTAAGGACATAGCATTGCTTTTATATAATTTTTTCACCATAAGCCATTTTATTGTAAATTATCTTTGTTTCATTAATTGTCAATTCATTTAGTTATTTTAGCTTTTATAGTCGTTTTTTTCTTACAGAAATTTATGGCGAAAAGTAATGTTTTTTATTTTTTATTTTTATTTCTGTTTTCATATTCCATTCGATTTTTTGGACTTGCTTGCATTTCAAATTGAAATGATGAAAGTTAGAAAAATGTTTTTAACAATTTGATAAATGAATTGCTATTGCATGTTTGCCATTTATTGATAAATATCATCTGCAATCAATAGACCACTGATTATTGTAATTTTTAATCAGATATTGATGGTAAATGTAATAATTTAACAAATGATTGATAAATAAAACAATGGTTCCATAATTAGCATTAGTTATTATTATAATTAGCATGTTTAATTAATCGAAAATTAATTATTATCATATTCAATTGGGGTATTTCCTGAGATTAAAAACCAACCAATATCACATTGATATACTTGTGCAGCCTAAAATTATGGTAAAAAATATGAAAGCCATTGATAAATTTTTAAAGATTTTTTTTTCAGTGCAACAATTGCATCAGAGCTTAACTCTGCAAGTTATGGTTTTGTTTTTGGATTGAATACTTTTGTGGCACTTTTGCTAGAGACAGTAATCACGTTTGCATTTGCTGATAAACATGGCTTTGCATTACCTATTCGAGAACAGGTTTTACTTTTAACATTATTTAAATAATTGAGAAGTTAAGTTAGCAATCTAAATTATTTAATATTTTGTTTAATAGAAATTGCAATAATTTAAAATTTGTTATTAAATAAGTTAATTGGAAGTAGATGAATGTTTTGTTATCAGCCTAATATTTTACTAAAATTAATACTTGAATTCGAGCTAAAAGTGTGATCTAATTTGAAAATGTGGAATATTACATTGCTATGAATTAAAAATGTACGAGAAATGAATAATCAAAACAAAATAGTTTTAATTTTTTTTTTTAGCGTT